CAGGTGATTTTGGTCCTTCATTAGGCCACCCAAGGTCTTCCCCATCCTAAGGTACACCTAATGTGTACCTTGCACACTTAATGACCCTGATTCATTTACTGAACCTCCTCTCAACCCATGACCATGATGGGCAAGCTCCATTATAGTTGTAACCTTGTATTAAAGATAGGATCTCACACTATTTCAATGGATTTCTCTCTTCTTGTTTCACATATATTTGTGTATGTGTATGCATGTGTGTATATGCATTATGCAGTGTACAATGGAATATGGAAATACATAAAACATCACTGTACGGCTTTTAACAGTAAGTAAAAATAATTCTGAAAGGATCTATTTACACTGCACATACTGTTTTTGTCAATATTTATGTTTCGTTCCATTCCAGTGGAATAAAAAGAGAAGATATATTCTTCCTTCTGAAATTGTCTTCCCACAGTGGTAAAGGCAAAGATTTTATCTGCTCATGATAAAGGGTCTCATGCTGAAGTCAATGTGATGATCCAGAAAGTACTGAAATCTACAAAACTGAAGATTTCCCAAGGAAAACGGATCCTTTACCCAGAATCATGGACTAACAGAGGTTGTACCTGCCCAATACTTAATCCTGGTAAGTTTTTATATATATTTATTTCATGTTTATTTCATAAAATCTTAATTATATTAATTGATTGTATAAATTATACAGATAGTTTGTATATTTACATAAATTTCATTTTGTTCCATGTGCTAAAAGCTTGATGCTTCTGAAAATGAAACTGCCATACTGCCAGGGGTGGGATTCTACCAATTTGCACCTATTTGCTAGAACTGGATGTTAACATTTGATGCAGTTAGGAGAACCAGCTGTTAGAAGAAATTACTGGCCTAATCCTGTAAAGAAGGCAGGAAGGAAACATTCTGGTGTTGCTTACAGAAACTGTCTCTCTGTTAACCCTTATTACATTCTTGGTAGGACTAGACTTCCTGTCTCAGGAACTTCTCTGGAGTTTTTTTCCCCCCTCTTTTGTTGGTACTTTGTGTGGAATGACCATTCAAAGTTACAATGGCACTGAAATAAGTGACTTATGACCATTTTTCACACTTATGACTGTTGCAGAAATAACAAAAATATATTGACTAACTGGCAATCAAGCATTGCATTTGTTACAGTAAACATGATGAAAATTCTATCTAAAACTACTTTATTTTAATTTTATTTATTAAATTTCCACACAACCTATTTCACTGAAGTGACTCTGGATAATTTACAGCAGTACTCTCATGTACATTATTTCTCCTTTGCTTGTAATTAACTAATTTTTTAATCTTTCATGATAAGTAATATTTATCCAATATAAGTTAAGCACAAATAATTAAGATATAGCATATGTCTATTTTATCGGCAGGATTGAAATATCTTGTGGCAGGATATGAAGATGTTCATACAAGCAGACTGATAGTCAATATGAAAAGCTTTGTTCATCAGTGGAAATCAGCTCTGAGGAAAAAGATCTTACAGGTTTTTAAAAAATGTGTCTGAAAGGACATTTGTTTATGCATAAAAACATATGTGTAAAACTTTATGAACAACCTCTTAGATTAAAACTGGAATGTGAGGGAACAGTGCCAAATGTAGTATAAAAAGAACTTTAATTCATAGGCCGTTCACCTTGACTCAAAACACCCCATTTCAGATTGCAGAAATAGTTGAGCTTTCTTACACAATCCCCTTTTTCTATGCAGTAGGCTGAGAAGTATGAACTAAATGTAACAATCTACAAGTGAGTAATAAGGTATACATCCACATCTGCATTCCTGCAGCTCTAGCATTTTCATTTTATTAACAATCATCAGTTTCACAAAGCATTTTGTGAACAGAATTTCCTCACAGTTTTTTCTCTGGACTGGACCAAGATACTTAAAAATAAAACCCATTAATTTGGCAGAATTTGCTTTGTCATTACTTCCTTAAAGTTCTCATATAGATTTAATATCCAATTTAAATGTTTTATTTAAGTTGCACAGAAATGTATGGATAATCTAAAAGTTGAAGCTTTCATTTTCTTCTTTGGAAATATGTATATACACTTGCGATGGATTGTACTGTTGTAATGAACGAGATTAACTGAATATTACATTAGTTAGTGTATTGCAATCATAAAGGGGAATTTGGTTAGGTTTATATTCAGGTTTCTGTAGATATAAATGGAAATGACCAATGTATTAATGATCAAATTTATAAAAGTAGTGCATAGAATCTTCACTGAAATATAAAAGAATGCTGACTCAAATTGGTTAAATCAATGGCTTTTGGGGGATTGTGCGGGATGTTGCAGTCATGAGCACTTAAAACAAGTAATAAAAATGGAATCTATCCCTTTAGTAGAATTTTGACTTCAAATATTTTATATATAAAGCACTTTATTGCCTTCCCCTTTCCAGTGTGAGCAATCTAATTTTGGGGAACAGGGACAGCATAGGAGAAAGGATGAGGGAACAGAATCTTGCTAAACCTACTAGGATAATTGCTTTCCTTAAAGCATAGCAAAAGCCATTCAGAAAAACTAAAGATAACTTGTGAAAAAGAATATATTGTATTTACAGTGGAGCACCAACTTCAAAATAATAATTTTATTTGCTTGGTATCAGTTATGATAAGAGTAAACATAAAAAAAACCAATGGAAGTTTATGAAAAGTGTGATGAACTTTCCTAGCACAATGCTGGCCTTAGTTTTTAGTTTTGTAATATTTAGATTTCAACTGTTTTCTTAAATTGTCATCTTCTGCTTCTACATATGGTGTACATACTCTTCCAAAATTGCATATATTTTATATATCTCGAACTTCATCACTGGTATCTACATTGTTCTATTAACACAAACATAAGCACCAAAATATCCTATTTATATGAACATACAAAAAATAAAGGCAAAGGCACCATACAATGTAAATAA